GTCGGAGAGGCAGTCGAGCAGTCTCAGCACTCTGAAACTCTGGATCATTGTCCTCTCATGCGCTGGATTCGACACAATGTGATGCATGGACACGGTGGCGACTCTACACACAGATCGCGCAACGTCGCCGACGGCCTCTTGCACAGTACATCCAGCAATGTGGCGCCGACACAAAGAGATCTATATTCATATTGGCTTTTGGGCGGTCTCTAGTAGTTGTTTCTACGATGCATTGACTTGTGTACGTCGCTCGCGTCGATTCGATGATGTGCGACCGTGACACCGGTGTGCGTCTGGCAGTATTCGAATGGACCAATCAGATGACTGGGATTCAAATCTTGGACAACTATAAAAAGATAGCGAGAGCGCCGGTCGGCCGGTGGCACACAGCACGGGGATCATGAGACGTCGACATGGACGCCGGCGACGAGGGTTGCAGCGCCATGGACCGGTCGGATCGTCAACGTTGCGACTGGTCATCGCGGCGCCTTGTTCTGTCCGCGCCTGGTCGTCTCGATGCCGGGTGGTTGCCGTGTTGCGCCGGGCGGTTGTCGTGAAGGCGCCGGACAAAGGCAAAAGGTCGACACTGGCTCGCAACGTCAAAAGTCGAGGCGTAAAAGCTGGCAAAGTCGAGTAGAAGCGAGATGGATAGAAGAAAAGGACTTGTATTGACAAAGTAGATATTGACGATGCACGAGACGACGATGAGAGATGCTTAGGCCCAGCCGCCGCCGCCGCCGTTGGTGTTGGTGTTGACGTTGGCATTGCCACCCCAGCCGCCGCCGCCGCCGTTGTTGTTGTTGTTGTTGCCGCCCCAGCCGCCGCCACCGCCGCCGCCGTTGAAGAGACCGTAGCCGTTGAGGCAGTTTTGGACGAGGCTGCTGATCGCGCCGCCGAGGTCGATGCCACCGCCACCGCCGCCCCACGTGGCGCGCAGGTTCTGGTCTCGCTGGCGGCCGTCGTCGAGTCGATGCACTGGAGCACGGCGAGAGCGCAGACGGTGGTCTTGATCATGGTCTTCATGGTGGAAATTGGAAAGTGAGCGCTTCCTGGCCGTCCCATTCAATGGATCGGACCTCATGCATGCAACATATGACGAACCCATCTGTGTTCCGTGGGTCGGTCAGTCACCTCAGGGCCATCACACTCTGAAACTCTGGATCATTGTCCTCTCATGCGCTGGATTCGACACAATGTGATGCATGGACACGGTGGCGACTCTACACACGGATCGTGCAACGTCGCCGACGGCGGTTTGCTCTTGTACAGTACATCCAGTAGTGTGGCGCCGACACAAAGAGAACTATATTCATATTGGCGTTGGGCGGTCTTTAGTAGCTGTTTCTACGATGCACCGACTTGTGTACGTCGCTCGCGTCGATTCGATGATGTGCGACCGTGACACCGGTGTGCGTCTGGCAGTATTCGAATGGACCAATCAGATGGCTGGGATTCAAATCTTGGATAACTAAAAAAGATAGCG